ATATTTTTCTTGCTTTCAAGAGCTGGCATCTATTGCACTTGAAATGCGTGACCCACGGTGTGCAAGTTGGACTGGCATTGGTCTTGGGATAATTCTTGTGACACTCGGTGAAGGAAGCCAGTGTGGAAATATTAGAGGAGACAGAGTTTTGAATGTATGCCACAGAAGGTTGCTGCTCTCAGATGACAGTGTGTTTGCAAGGAGCAATTCTCAGAATTTCCTTTGGCACTGAACCAGCTCAGGAAAAGAGGAAGATTTCATGTTCCGTGCCAGAACGCATCCCTGTAATAATGTGAGAATGAACGGTCTGACCCTAAATTATAAACAGCTCAGACTAGGCTGTAGTCTGCTGCAGAAACTATCTTGAACTTTGTAAAGAGAAAGCTTATGTCTGTGATTATGTATATCTTTCTATGATGTACAATAAAATAGTTGTCATTTTACTGTGAATTTAAGGCAACATTTCTCACTGTGAAAGCATTAATCTTCTTAATGCACCTTGTGACTACGATAAAAATGCAGAGATCCAGGTCTCCCTCAGAAAATATCTGGATTTTATATGGTCACCCTTAAAAAAAAACAAGCTGTAGTAATAAACAATATCAAGCAATAGAAAACAAGGATGCTGTGCATATGTAATTAGTTATTTACTGGCCTTCAGAACAAAGCTTTGGATGTAGTGATTTTGAAAAGAAGTGCTTTTTAAGCACAAACCTCAACTTCATCAGTTTCCACTCATTTATTTGTTAGGGGGTTTTTTACTTCAATCCAGTTCTGACATTTTTGGGCTGAATGCTAACACAGGAGGCAGGAAACGTGAGTGCAGCATCTTTGGCTTTAGGACAGTTTTGTACTCACAGTAGTGGGGTAGCTTAGCCCAAAGACTAGAGGAGATTTAGCTGGAAAAGAAAACGTGTGTGTAAAGCACATTCCAGCTGAGTGAATGCTGAAGAAAAATTACCTGTTATCTCACAGTGACTACATTTGTTTGTTGTGGATGGAACTGCATACCTGGAATTGTATATACTGCCCTAGGGATTACATAGAGAAAGGCACTTTAGGATTGATCTACTGCATTTAATTCCCAGTGTCACCTCAAAGCAGGCTTTCCTCTCTCTCCCAAGGAATGAGTGCAATTCCTGTGTTGCCATGAGATATTTGAGACCACAAATAAAAATAACATCCCAACCCAAAGACCAGAAAGGTTCCCTGATACATGTCCTGCCTGAATGATTGGAGCATGGTCTAGTATTTCATGAATGAGAAAGTTTAAAATTTGTATATGCAACAGGTGATATTAAATGTATGGGATGGAGTTGAACTTGAAAAAAATAGGCCTTTTAAAGGACCAATTTTCATGGAACCTGTATGAGCAGGGGAGTCAATGCTCAGCCATTTGATGAAGGTAGTAATTTTTGAGTCAAGGTGAAAACTGGTGAGAAGTTATTTGGGCAGTAGATGTATCTCACAGTATTGAATTCTCAGCCCAGTGGAGTGAGAAACTTCATAGAATTCTTTTTTTGGTGGTGTTGTTTTTGGCAAAGTCATCTGCTGCTATGGTAGCAAGCAGTAAATAATGATATAAAGTGATTAAAATGAGTGATGGTGTTCCTGGCATGTGGTTGGAAGGTTTTATTCTTGGTCTGAGTGTCATTTGTGCAAAATATGGTGGTGCATCAAATTGAAAAACAGATTTTTATTTTTAAAGTTGCCCATTAGTGACTTAGGAAAATAGTTTGCTGAGGCTCTGTTTGGCTTGTGTCACGTAAATGAGTCTTTACGTCCGATTTGCATATACTGTCTCTGGCTAGTCCACTCTCATGCAACAGTGTCTACAGAGGCACTTTTGAGAAGACTGAACGGTGGACCTAACAAGAGATTTCACAGATACTAATAGTTCTGAATATTTTTCAGCTTGTGTGAATGTGAATGGAGAGGAACCTGGCAGGAGAAAGGAGAAACATATCAAATATATCTCAGAAACATTTAGAAAGTTGCTTTTTTTAAATTGGTTTACAAATGAAAATAAACATTACTTAGTGTCTGAAAGAAAGGACATTTTTATTTTGCATAGCAGCCTAAGACCACTCATTCTTTTGCTTGAAGAAAAAAAAAAATTGTACAATTAGTAGCAAAAGGTAACAGAAAGCAGGACCCTCAAGCTGCATGTTTTTTGCATATATATGCACTGAGGAGGAAGAAGAAAAAGAATATATGTTTCCACCTCCTTGGGCCAGGCACAACATCCATATGCTGCTGTCCAGGAAGAAAGCCATAATGACTATTTCAGATTACTACTTCCCTTTATTCAGGGGAGCATAGTTATAAAATAATGCCACAACAATACTTGTCTGGGTATGTCCTATGCTGAGCTCTCCTGGAGCTACAACTCATCTCAATTCCATCTTCGTCCCAGCATGACCCAGCTGCAGGCAAAAATTGGTGCATCTTTCAAGAAAGAAAGAATGAAAAAAAGGAATTATGTTTTTCTACCATTATACAGCATTAATTCTTTTAGTAAAGTGTTGGAAATAAGAACATAAATAAGAAAGTGCAATCCATGATGCCTTGGGAATGATGTGTGGACTGGCAAGGAGGTAGTATGATATTATATATGCCTTTTCATTGTTTTTTTATGCATAATATGCTGAATAATTGTTGCTATTACTCTACACAAGTTCTTGTTCTTCTTATCGTAGGAAAACATCGTTGGGGAATCATTTCTCGTCGTTCTTATTAATAACACCCTAAACAGAACAACAGACCTAGAGCAGACTGAAGTGTCTGCACACAAAATTAGCCCTGGTGAAATAACTCTTCCCGAAATATCAGATGGAGTACCTGGTTGTATCTGGGAAAAATTGGACTTTTAATATTTCACATCTGGGTATTTTTCTGTAACTGTATTCCTTTCTGTCCACAAATCAGTGACCAAACACTAGAGAGCTGGCAGCCAGAGATTTCATGAAGGTTTGGCACATTCTTGCAGGCACAGTACAGTTTGCCTGTGGGGAATACATAGCTATATTACCCTATATCAGATTTCCTGCTTTACTCCTTCAAGCAGTTTACATCTTTGCTTGAGCACACCTGTGCTCCCCAGAGGTTTATTCTAGGAGATCTCAGATGGCATTCCCCTTACTACAGTCTCCTTAGGACTTCCCCAGAGAGCTGAACTTTTGTTTATGCTTAAAAAAATTCCTGTGTATCCCTTAGAACAAGTTATCATCCACAGTCACTGCAGGAACTTCCCACTCTTGTGAATGTGTTGACTGTTGGCAGATTTCAAGGGACTGGGAATTTGCCGCATCTTTTCCCCTCAGACTTGTTGTTCTCAAAAAATGTTTCTTGAATCTCTACAGGCCTGAATCTCTGAGCTTTTTGATAGATTAAAACTCATTCTCTTTTCAGTGAAAGCTGTCATAAAGTGTCATAAATTTAAATTTCTCAGCTGCAGGGACTGAGAGGCTTCCTCAGCTAGGTTGGATAATTCTTACTAGCAAAAAGACCTAGACTTTGGCTTTTTTTTTCCTTAACAGGAATGCTAGTATTTTTTCCCATGTGTGTTTTAGATATACCATCTGTGGAGAGCAGCAATGTGTTTATCATCAACAGTGAAAATACTGACCTGGAAAGGACTTTTTTTTTTTTTTTTAAACATATGCATTGATAGGGATATAAGGAAAGCAAAAACCCCACAGCTGCTCCGCCTGCAGGGCTTTTCTGAATAGCAGAATGGATCAAAGGATGTTTTTAGTTCCTTGTGAAGAGGAAAAATTCATCACTTTAAAAATCACAGCAAAAACAAATCAAATCAATACCAGGAGCTTTTTAATAATAATGCATTTCTTATGGCTATCCTCAGTATAGGTCTCAGCAGTGGATGCTGAACACAGCTAGGAAGAATGAAATAAAACCTGTCTCTGACACTGGTTTTCATTTAGCATTAAGGAATTAACTGGGATACGAGACTATAACATCCCAAGCACTGATGTGTTTAGAATCTGAGAGCTACGTCTGTGTTTTATAGCTTGAGTTCATCTGAACTGTGAAGTGGTATTATAAAATATTTTTTTCCTTTCTTCAGAATTCAAGAACATATTTTATAGTTTTTTTTTTCATCTGTTTTGTGCTATGGCTGGGTCGTTAATGCACTTTGTTCAGTTGTTAGCAACACATCCTGAATGTCTTCTGTAGACTATTGCGATTTGAACACCTTTTTTGGTCGATGAATAAAGGACAAGCTCTCCCTCACCTTCTGTGGAATGTGTTGGCTGGTATCCTGATGAGTTTTACTGTAGGATGCAATCAATTATTTTAACTGTGTTGAGAGACTTTCAAAGTCGTTACATGATCTTGTTACAAGCCAGTAAATCCGTACTGTATATCAAGGGATGAAAGTTAGTGCTGAGATCGCTAAATAATACATACTTTCAATAAAGCTTTAAAAAATTCTGGCCTGTGAATTTTGTGATTAGAACTAGATCATCTATTAACAAGTCAATACATGACTAGGGAATAGATCCAAGTGCTTCCTAAAAGGGAGAAGTGTTGGCAGGGTACAATGGTGAGCAGTGAACAGGGCATAAAAAGCTATGAGTAGTAGAGAAAAGGATTAAAAAAAAAGAGAAAGCTTTGTATTACCTCAGAAAGAACTGAGTCATGCCGTTGCTTGGTGCAGACATAAAGTTATTAGCAAAGGAAAAAACACATCACAATATTTTATTGTCCCTTCTTTAGCTGTTAGGCCTCCAGAACTAAAACCTGGGGTATTTCTTTGTTTTTTCAGTTTTGCTTACTAACATTACATGCCTAGACATAGTGTGACAGAGAAAGCTATTTCTATTTTATTTAGTAGTAATTAATAATGTGACTTAATGTTGTGCTGCCACTATATTGACCCTTCTTATACATACATTGCATTGTTCAGGTATCTAAATATATAATAGCCATGTTTTCACTTCAAATGTTACCTTTTATTTTCCTTTCTTTTTCTTCAGGTTGACTTTGAACAACTCCAGGAAAACTTATGTCAGATGGAAAGACGGTGCAAAGCATCATGGGATCACCTTAAGGCTATAGCAAAGCATGAAATGAAGCCAAGCCTAAAACAAAAAATGTCTGAGTTCCTTAAAGACTGTGCAGAAAGAATCATAATCCTGAAGATTGTTCATAGAAGAATAATTAACAGGTACAGAATTACACCGGTAGCAGCAATATCTTGATAGTAAATTGATAAGACTATAAGTTATGACATCACAGATATGTTTTTTAAATAAATGTTTAATCCACATTCCTGCAAGAAACATTACCAAGTTGTATGTCGTGCATACTTTGTTATTGACTCCATTTAAGAAAGATCCCCACTCCAGAAATTTCTATATTTCTGATTGAAAGAAGCAATTGTCCAGGCAATCATTTATTCCCAAGGTGCAATTACTGGGTCTTTTAACACCTACTCCCCAAAAGCTAGCAGCTTTATGTTTAAGTTGCTATATGTTCTGTTCATCCTTCCATGTTTTTGAAGGGAGTTGGCTTACTCCCTTCAAAATAAACAAGAACAGACTGTAAAAAAAATGAAGTTTTAATGACAAATTTGTCATAGGCAGAAGTTGAAGCAAGCCTTGTAAAATGAGTTCTTTTGTAGGCAGCACCACTCTTATTTGCAAGATCTACAACTATATGTTTTATACCTATGCAAATGAAGACAGAATTAAGATTCGTCTCCTCAGGATTTGCAGATGGGTTTAATGAAACTGCGAGAGATTTTCCAGCTTTTGGATAATTTCCAGATTGCTGTGGTCAAAATTAGGAACTGGATTCCAAATGATCCCAAATTTGTGGATATGCACTTGGAAGGCTGATTCAGCTCTTCTTATGTTTTTGTAATGATTTGAGGTTTATGCCATAAGTAAGCAGAAATCCCAATTGCAGTGAAAGGGATGTGAATACAATAGTTTCATGTTGTGTTTATCATATGCATTCTACAAATAAGAAAAATATCATTTTTTCCCTATGATAGCCTGCAACTACTTCTGTAGTTCTTACAAAATGTATTCTTGTCCTTGCATCTTTCTAAGATTGGGAAAACTTTTTATCATCAAGAATGTAGATGCAGTTGAAAGGGATTCCCATACATTTTTAAACATTCAGTGCGCTGTTGTAAATCACAAAGTATAGAAACAGTAGTAAAAATTGCAAATACTGCAAAAGCTCTGAATGCCACAGAAGAAGTAAAACTGTGAATTGAGAGTATCCCAAACTAATTTACTTGGTAGATAATATAATTTTACGGTCAGTTTTGTGAACCAGAAATTCTTTCCTTCTTGTGTTTGCTAGCCTGTAAATCTGCATTCTTCTTGTCTAGGCTTTGCCCAACATCCTAATAGCCTCTTTGAAGTTGCTTAATTCAAATAAATAGAATTGAAACTTAATAAATATTTTTCTATAACTGAAATTAAATTGATCATTCACGTGCCAAATTAGTCATATAAATTAGATGGAGTTCCATAAACATCTTATCTCCTGCATCGGCCTGGGAAAGTAGACAGAGATGAAGTTATCATAGGCTAGACTTTCATGGTTTTAATTATAAAACATACCAGTGTTATGCAAAGCATCCATGAAAATTCTGTAGCACAAAGGAAGTGATGGGAGCTCGTAAAGTAATACATGGATTCAGTAAAATTTTTTTCCCAGAGACCATCAATAAAGACTTCTTTTTTCCCTTTACATTTATGAACTCATTGTTTTCCAGGTTTCACTCATTTTTGTTATTTATGGGCCATCCTCCCTACGCAATACGTGAAGTCAACATCAATAAGTTCTGCAAAATTATTAGTGAATTTGCTCTGGAATACCGCACCACCAGGGAACGAGTTCTGCAGCAAAAACAGAAACGAGCTAACCACAGGGAAAGAAACAAGACCAGAGGGAAAATGATAACAGATGTAAGTGGCAAAATGTCTCTCCCACAGCATGGATTTTTAAAACTTTCTTTCATTGAATATGATATACGAGGTGTTGCTACTCTCTTTTTATTCTTAGAGGTTCTTCTACTGAAAGTAATGAACTCCATTCTCTTAGAAGACAAAACTTGCAAGTCCTTGATTGTGTATATTTTCTGCTTCATACAAGTGTATAGGATGAGAACAGAGATTAAGCATCAAAAAAGAGCTTCTCTGTGTTGCACAGAATATCTAGAAGACAGGAGCTGTCTGTACCTGATCAGCCAAGAATATGAAAAAGGAAAAAAGCCTAGAATTTGACTCCTAATTGAGAACATAATTTAAATTATGAATCATTGTAGCTATTTAAGTGACTACAACAAAATTTGGATGGAATTTTTCCCTCCATCTTTGGGTATTCTAATATAGTCTTTAGTCTTGGAATTTTATATGTTTTTATGTGTTTGTGTATATATATATATATGTATATATATATATATATATATATATATATATGCATGCACATGCAGCAATTTTTTTCTTAACTTTGAAGAACAGAACAGCCAATTTTATTGGAACAGAGTACTTTGGGGTTCTAAAAGAATGGACAAATTTATGTTCATAGTAGATGTTACCCCGCAAACTTTTTGACTGTATGGTTGCATACTCATAGAATAAATTAAAATAAGATTATTTTTCTTAGCACAGTAAGTTCTAAAATCCCCTTGACTTTTTCTATTTTTTTTTTTTTAAAGTTGATGTAGTTTAACTCAATCCAAATAAAGTTTTAAGAAGTGCCAGTACTTAATAAAAGTTTCCAGCTGTCTCAAAATTCAAATCTGGACTCTCTATTAGGTGCAAGTGGTTCATTGCATATGAAGTTATCCCTGCCTTTGGCATGAAAAACCCTAAGCTGATTATAGTTTTATGGCTCAGGCAACATGGGTCAATATATATATATATATATATATGTATTGAAACTGATATAAACTGAGATTGTATTTAAGTCATTGACTTATGATCATTTGTAGATCTTTCCTGGCAGTATACTCTTTACATTTGGAAATCTGCTCCATCTAGAGAAAATGTTAAACCTCTGTTATTATCAAAAGATTTTTCTTTTGGTCTAGCCTCAGGTTAAGGAAGAGACTCTGATTTTATACAAAGGCTATAATATAGTCATACAAATTTTTAAAACTATGACTGGGGATTTTTCTGATATATTCTAGAGTAGCTAAAAGACAGCGTTGACCAGAGTCTGGTAAATTAAAATTTTCATTTCTTCAGATAGCTTTTGCACTTTTTACTAGTTTAAGCAATATTGAGATGCAAAGAAATTGCTGTTTTCCTACTATATGATGTAGTGTTTCTGTATTATCTGTCCAGAAGAACTGGCCATGGCAGCACAGAAAGCTTCTCTGTTCCTGCAGCAAATGCTAGAGGGAAAGGAGATCTGATCTCTGACAGCTGGGTTCAGGAAGCAGAGAAATGGGACCCTTTCAAACCTGCAAAAGGCTCAGGCTTGACTACAAGTCAGCAAGGAGCAGAGATAATGGGACAATGGCTGTTTCTTGAAAATGAAGGAAAGGAGGCCTCAAGGCCTTTCCCAGAATAAAAGTATTATTGGATGAAGATTTCTTGTTCAGTTCAAGATGCTGTTGAGATTTGGCAAGAAGTAAATGCCATCTGACAGCTAGTGTTACACCTAAAAATATCTTGTAGGTCTTGAGAAAGGAAACATTTTTTGCCTATCACTAATTTACAATTATAGAACAGTTGTATTAGCTTAAAACCAAAAAGCCCACTGGAGTTAAAAACCAACATTCTTTAAAATTGCCCTAATAGGAGTGTTTTTAACGGTGTTCTTTATGTGCCCATATAGTTATTTCTGAACTTGCTAAATCTCTTTAACCATAGCCCAGTAATATGGCCTCATTTACCTTTAATTTGAATTGCAGTAGATGGTAAAACAGAATTAAAGTTGCGTCAGACTGTTTGTCATAGCATGCTTTGACAAGTTCAAGGTTAGTTCTACCTCAAAACAAGTTTCCAAGTCAGCAGGATGGAAGATATTTATGTGCAAAGAATGATGAAAATGGGGAATTTTACTGTAGTCTTGTTTTGGCTGTGGTTTGTATCTGGTCTTGATTTTCTTAGTGTTTTATATTCAAAGGCATTGGTAAGGGAAAGTGGATCAGTAATGCATTGACAGTGTGTTTATGAGTTACAAAAAACTCGTGGGAGAAAGTTGAGGTCTTCACATTGGAAAGAAACTCGTTGTAGAAAGTAATTACAATATGTAGTAGTCATGTGGAATTTTAATTTCTGCTTTTGGTGACCTAAAACTATTGTGCAGTTATTTGAAATTTACCTCTCTGTCCTTTTGGAAGTTTCCTCAGGATCTCATTTGTATCACCTTACAGTATATTGTTTTTAGGTGGATGAAGAGGGATTTTAGCAAAAGTGGGAAAAGAATAAGCCAGAACCAAACCAGTTCTTAACGAGAAGTCACGTATTTCTTAAACCTTGGTCCCCCCTGCAGTCTTGGAAGGCAGAGGGGTGCTGGCTCATTCAATAGAGAGAGTCTGCTGGCTCTTTGCACGGAGAACTCGCATCAGCTTCAGCAACTACTCACATGGAGTAGCCTTTACCACAGATATCTTTATGTTTATGTGTTTTTTAATAGCTGAAGTGGACTGGGCACTGTCAGTTAAAATTTTAGTGAATGTTGTCTGGAGGGGAGGGGTAAGGAAAAAATAAAATGGTGAGTTACCACAGTTTCACAGGGAAAATTGCCTAGCCTCTGTAACATTATGTCTGGCTTTAGCCAACATTAGTACTCATTTCAGGCTCTCTAAAAATAACAAGCAAGCAAAATAGGGAAGAAATGCAATTATAGATACAAGTCTGAGCTTTTTAATGATTTATAATAACAGTAGGTAAATAAGCATCTGTCTCCCAGATTTATGAAACTCTGCTTTTCATGATATTTAAGAGTTTCAATTCCAAAATTGCTATGTAATAGAAATAATATTTTGAAACAGCAAATCTACCACATAGAAATGGTAGCCTAAAGGAAAAATGTGAGGGCAGGAGGGAGCGAAGGAGAGAGATCTCAGATTGTCCGGCAACATGCAGTCTTGGATGACAGAAGAATCAAGCAGAAATTACTCTTTAAAATTAACTTCTTATACCTACAAGTGGGATTCAGTATAGCAATATTTTTTCACAGCTTTTTGGTAATATTACATATAATGAAATTCCTAATTTATTACTATTGCTCAGGGTATTTATAAAGATGAAATGAAGAATGAAATAAAAGGCAGAATGCACACACCTCTGTGAGAGCAAATTCCCTTGTGAAACAAAAAGTTGATTTATTTATTTTGATACTTCCACTCCTGCTGTCAGTATTTGCTGGGGGCAAATGGCTCTTCAGACATGGCAACATGATAAGGGCGGTGAATTGCTCCTCCTGTGCACTGGAGTAGCTCTGGGTGTAGAAGGATAGTGGTTCTAGGAGTGACTGCTAGCAGAAAGAAGAGAAATGGTAATTCCCAGGTACTGGAAGTGAGCAAAGTCAAGCAGAGAAGTGTAGAGAGAGTCCACAGCAAATCACTTCTAGCTAGATTAGGCAGGAATACCAGAAGCTGGGACTTTCCCTGTAAAAATCTAGCTTGATATAAAGTAATAATATCATAGATTTTTGCTTGGAGCACAGTCTTTGCAATGTGTGTTCTCTGCTATTTTGCCTTACCCTTTTTATATTGTTTAGCTTAATTTGCTCTCCTGCTGCCTTTTACGCATTAGATAGATGTACAGGATGATGTAATTGATCAGATAAATAGATGGGAGTAGAATACAATAACGTTGTTACTTCCCATTCTTCTTCTTTCTGTTTCATATTCATCCCAAAAAGTGAACAGTGGTCTTCCTCAGAAGAATTGCTTAACAGTGTGAGTCCCTGCCCCCAGGGGATGGAAAAAAGATAAATAGGTCTTTCTAATATAACGGGAACATACCTGCCAGGCTCCCTCTGCAAAACACACTGCCTGTGTTTCTGTTAGTACCACTGTCTCCAAAGAAAAATAAGCATCTCAGTCTTTGAATAAAACATACCCTTAAAAAGTAATGTTAATGTGCTTCTCAGCACTCACAGCTAATCTTCTTACGGAGATTGTGCTGAAACTAGACTGAGGGCCAAAGTAAATCAGGCTTTCATTTTTAATGATGAATGTTTTTGGAACAGAATGTATCAATCCCAGACAGAAATCGGAGCTGAGATGGAGATAAGGTCAAAAAAATGTATTAGTAACACTAGGGAAGGGAATAGTATTGGTGGAATGCTGCTTCTAAAAAAACAAACACAACCCACAAATAAAAAAAATGCATCAAATTTCTGGACTATGTTTCCACTTTGTAAACAATCATACTGAAAATTATGGAAACAAGGAGCCCAGATACTTTAGAAAATATGTTTTACTTCAGGAACCTTCTATGTCTTACAATGCAGTGAAGAATTCCCCAGGCATTTGGGAACACAGCTCTAAATAGTTTGCTAATTCCCTGTAAATCCCCAAATTTAAGAACACTCCATATCTCACAATATTTTTATTTGTCCATTGCATTTAATGTAGTGTAACTGTCAAGGTAGTTTTACACGCCTGCTGTCACAGAGAGTGAAAGCCCTGAGTGACAGTGGATAATTGCGTCTCTCTAATTTCCAGTATCAAGTATCAGGCAGCTACTGAAAAACTTCAGGCATTTATTCAAAGACTACCCAGCATTTGATTTGAGTGCTCTGTTAAACTGAAAGTTGAAAAGCCCCAGCTTGAAAAAGGAATTAAAACAAGCACTTAAGGGTAGAGAAAAGGAATTGCCAAGAAGTCGACCTCTGCACTGAGAGAAACAACAGCCAGGACCTCCCTGTGCTGAACATAGCACAGGGAAAAGGAGAGAGAGTCCTTCCTAGTGTTCTCAGTTTTCATAGGGGAAAAAGTGGGCAAACAACTGCACAACTCAGAGGAGAGAAATAGGATAGATTAGGGGTAGTTTCAGTTCATAATTTCTCTAAGAAAATTCAGGAAACTTTTACATACCCTATTGGCAGTGATAGACTGCTCTACGTACAATTAGCTAAAAAAAAAAAAAATGGAGCAAGTTGTTTGTCTAAAGAATTAAATCCTTATATGTTTTCTATTTTCATGGCCTCCTATTGCATAAACAATACCATGGTTACCTCTTACTCTGTTGTGGTTTGACCATGCTGTCTTTCCTAAATTTTGCTGTTTGTCCTTCTCCACCCTGTCCTTTGTTTCCGGCGACAGACTGATGAAGAGGAGGATGCTGAGGTATGGTTCTCTGAAAGAGCATGTCATCCCATGTCTCCTGTGTGCTGTGACATCTAATTTCTAACTCAGATAATATAGACTGCTCAACTCCATCTGCTCTGCTGGAACAATGAACCATGACATTTTTCTCATATCTTTTTGTCTCAGTAATAAGAATGCATTTTTACAGTCAGCTTGAACCATATGCATACCTGTCCTCTGGAATAAAGATATCCTGATCTGAGGCCTTAATAATTTTAAGTTGCCTCATTTCTTTTCCTTAATGTATCTTCATTAAACTTCAAAGTATCCTCATTACCCAAAACATCAGTGATATAAATGTTATGGGGATCATAAATGACCTTGGGCTACAGATTGTCAGGATAATTTCATACTCATTATTAAGCTGTGTAATGCCACATGGTAATATTTTATAAAGTGTTCAAAAACATTAGGATATAGCAATGTTAAGCAAATTGTAATTGTTTTCTTTGCTGTATAAATTGAGAATAAGACACTTTAGTCATCATAGAGGTGAGCCGTGTATCTATCATGAAGTGCTCCTGAAGGTGATGTCAAAAATTAGTGAGTGATTAAATAATTTAAGAACTATAATGTTCTAGCTATATTCATAATAAAGCAGTTTATCGGATTGAGGAGCATCTATTGTGCAGTGCATTTGTTGTTCAGCATTAGAGCTTTCTTCAGTTTGCTGAACATAAACAATGTCGTTTAATGCTCGCTGTTTCATAGTGGTGGTCATTTGCTCAAGAAGCTGGGGTTTGGGCAGTAATTTATGGCAACATCTGAAATTAGGAATAAAATAAAACTTTTGACTCCAGAGCTTCACCCCCAGTGATGATTTGTGCTTGGGACACTGAAGGAAAATTACATGAATTAACCTGTTTATGCCAACATATAACTAACGTGTGTTATAGTAATTAACAGTTATGTGAAGGCTTTATCCTTGGGTTTTTTTCTGAGATGGTATTGATTATCTTTACAATCCACGCTGTATAAGACAGTAGTCTTAATGTAAAAATGGCATGCACTTTCATAGAAGTTTTTCTGTAATTTTTTTTTGTCTTTTAATTTCACATGTGAAACTCTAGCACTTGAATACTTTCACATCAAAATGTTGCAAGCTAATATTTTAACAAGCAAACAAACTTCTCACCATCAAAATAGGTCTCATACTGGTATATTTAGCTCAGTGCCTTGTAGGGATTATTGTTTTGCTACTCAGTTAACTTGCTACCTTACCGCAAAAAGTCACGATGTTAAAATAGGATCATACTATCATTAATTTCCAGATTAAACATTTTCAATTTGCAGTCTTGACAACCCTGGGGACTCGATCAAAGCTCTGAAAGTAGGGCCCAGTCTTTTCTTCCAGTTTCCCATTCTCTGACAGAAAGGCTTTGCAGGTTTTCATCCCTTTAACTGACTGGCCTGATACCACCAAGTGAATAATTAATGTTGTTTATTACGGAAAGGAGGAAGAGAATGCAGCACTTTTCCTTTCATCTGTGCTGAATCAGTCAGAGTAAGAAAGCTTAAAGGAGAAAGAAAATGTATTTCAGTGTCTGATGCTGGGCTGATACAGCTGAGAGTACCAAGGGGTGTTATCTGTTGATGCCTGTTGGTTGTCAGCAGGGTTGGTATTTTCTGCAGCCAGGACTGTATTTTAAATGTGCTCTGACCTGTCTGTAGGTTAGAGCATAGTGGTGAATACCACCATCACAGCCCTTTGTAGGCTTGTCTGAGAAGGGAGCTCTTCTCCTTAGAAAGTAACCGTTTCTGCTGTTCTCATCTGTTCCTAGATGGTTGCTTTCAGTAACTGCTGGGGCTGCTGCATCCCCATGCTGTGCATGCCCAGCTAATGTAGTTGCTGTTATTCTTCATGTAGTCGTGGTGACAGGGAAGCAGAGGGCAGATTCCTCAGTCTCTTGTAAGGTTTTGTTTGTTCTTCTAACTGCTGACTGCAATTTTTGTGTTTTGGCCATGAAATAATTTGGCTGGGTGTTTTGGGACCAGAGATTTTTTCAGGGTTACTGGTAATGTATTTTAAGGTTACATGTAGATAACTGTGTTTTAGAGCAGTTTGAGAGTTTTGTGTGCAGCAAGGCAGAGAGGCAAGAGGAAAAGGTGTCTCTTCCTAGACTACTGTCCCCGTTTTGCCTTGTTACTGCAACTCGTACAGAAAAAAAAGCAATTTTTTGGTTGTGTTGGGTTTCATGCTGTCCCTCTCGGCATCATGCCTGACCCCAGAGCAGGCCCAGTCTGGATTGAAGGTTTCAAAGCAAGTCCTTGACTTGTACCTTTTACTCTTAGACATAAGGACAAAGCTCAAGCTAATGCATCTGTTTTGACTCTGACTGTGTCTGCTCCCTGCTGTCACCCTGTTTCAGATTTATTTCTGGTCAGGGTGCATGCTTCTGGAAGAGGAGCAAATGTTGCTGGGCTCTTTCAGGAATAGCTGCACTCCAAACCAAGCCTTGGAGGACACTTTTCTCCTTGCAGTTCGCAGTCAAGACTCTGACCTATTCTCCGTGTTGTTTTAAGTTGAAACAACAAATCCGTTTCCTCCCACAGTCAGGCAAGTTCTCCAGCAGCTCACCCCCGTGCCAGAGCCAGCCACAGGGGCTGCAGTACGCCGAGGATGCTGCCGAGCATGAGAACATGAAGGCTGTGCTGAAGACCTCCTCTGTTGGCGGGGAAAGCACCATGGCGCTCGGGGTCCGCACTCGCAGCCGGGCCAGCCGAGGTAAGTGCCAGCAAGTGTCCTGGTTGGAGCACAGTGCTGATAACACCAAGGTTGTGGGTTTGATCCCCGTATGGGCCATTCACCTAAGAGTTGGACTTGGTGATCCTTGTGGGTCCCTTCCAACTCAGAATATTTTCTGTGATTCTGTGATTTTTTGCGGTGCAGTACCCACACAGTGGCCCAAATGTGGTTCATGGCCCCCATGCATAGCATTTATGTCAGAAAAGGTCAAAGGGGAAGGAGAACAGCCCAGTGGTGTTTTCATGCTGGAAGTGGCAATTTGGGGCACAAGGACGCAGAAGAATTTTCCTGAAGTTTTAACACATGGATCACAACGAGAGTTGTGACTCCATGTAGGAGTCCAAGTCTGCAGAAATTCCCACCTCTCCCCACACCATAATCATGACTGCCCACTAGCATCCCAATTTTTTATTCTTATTCTCATCATGAAAACAAAATGGGGGATCCGGGGAATCCACAATGTGATTTTCTTTTTATTTTCAATAGAAGTAAATAAAAAGTAGCAATTCAAATTGAAGCTAAAAGACCTAGCAACATTTTATAAAATTAATGATTGGGTAGAGGAAAACTGATAGGAAAAAGATGGTGAATCTTTTAACCACCTACCTGCAAAACTGCAAAGATAGTGGGTATTTTTTTTTGTCTTTTCCTCACCCCTTCCATACCTGCAATTCATAGAAGATGGTTTTGGAGTGAGGGTGATGCACCAAAATTCAAGTCTTCTGTTTCCTACTTTGGTATTTCTTCTCCCTCACATCTGGGTATCTTACACTTCCTTGACTCTTTTTTGTTATGACATCCAGAACATCCATCATTAAGTCTCTGTGTGTGTAGTCTTTTAAGGCTTGAAACCATGATCCTGTCTTAATTTAGAGGTTTCACAACCCCAATTTAAGAAGCAAGTCAGCTAACTAAAGTACAAAGAGGAAATACTTCAAGCTGCCCTGCAACAAGCTGAACAGCTGAAATAGTCTATTGAATGCTAACGAGCCATGTGTCCTGATTGTGAGAGTCAGCTTGTATTCCCCTGAAGGACAGCAGAGGCAGAAGATGGGTGAGCCAGACAGGAGCTTGTCAAGAGCGCTATTGTAATACAACTGGTCCTGACAAGAGCCAGGAGAAAAGCAGCAGAGCAAAGGCCTAATCAAAGCTGTTGTTTATTGACTTGAGGGATGTGATATAGACTGGCCTTGCTAGTGATTTTTGGCAATTCTATCACACCCATGCTTTTGCAAAGCTCGCTGTCAGTGTTCACACTGCACACTAGCCTTCAAATTCTTTAAAAACAAAAAGCACACAGAACAGTAGTCAGTAGTGGAGGAACCCAAAGATGTGTCACACAGAGCTCTGTGGAGTAAGGAGTGCCAGAGCCTTGGATTCAGAAACATGGCTCACTTGTTTGTTCGTGGTTTTAACCAAAACTGCTTATTTAGCTATTCAGCTTGCCAAGAGCTCTTCCTTTTCTGCTCATAACAGAGCAAATGCAGTTGTGCCAGAACGCATCCAGCTTTGTGATGAGAAGGTGAATTCTTCATTGTGAAAGGGACAATGAGACATGTCAAACCACACTTTCTACTCTTTTCATGTCTCCTTTGCACTAGGTTGGGATACAAATGCTCGTAAATTTATTCTTTCTCTCTTTTGGTACAAAGGACCTGTGTTTCTGATTTGCCTCAATCCCTAATGTGCCATGTCTTCTAGTACCTGTGTAGCAAGGGGAGAGGGAAACACACGACCTTGGCTTATAGACAGCCTCTAGGAGACATTTGCCAGTTGTATGGTCAAGAGCAAGACTCTGAGGCTGAAAGGAATAGAAAGAAAAAAAAAAATATTATAATTGCATTTGAGCTCTTGGTTCTCTGCTGATACAGCAAAGAGTCTAGGGTATTATTTAGAAATGTTCTCCAATAAGAAGAGTTTTCTTTGGTCAAATTGAAGTTGTGATGACTGAGCTGCCTGCTGCAATTCCCAAAAAAACTCAATTGCAAAACCAAAGTGACTCAAGAGACTTTATGTCTTCTTTTCCCTTTAATTCACTTGTTGGAACTTTTCCAGGCCGTATCGGTTCGTGGAACGCTGGCAATGACGATTCACCGAACGCAACGGATGACGCAGCGGATGAGATCATGGATCGCATTGTAAAGTCCGCCACCCAAGTGCCAAGCCAGCGAGCCGTGCCTAGAGAGAGGAAGCGGTCACGAGCAAATAGGAAGTCATGTGAGTATATGGCTATTAAATTTCTCAAAATAAGCAAACATGCAAATATTTAGGTATATCGGTGTAGGAACCAGGCCTTTAGTAGGCAGACATGCGTTGGTAGTTCATAGTTGCTCGAGTGTGTACTTATGATTGGCATGTGTTCCTCTTACTGTTGTTTAAACAGTGCTGTATGCCGTGGGTGGCTCTGTCTTCTACAGAATTTGAAATGTCCTTAGCAGTAAGAGAAGATTGGTTAATGGTACTTTAGAGCTGATGAGGGTACTTACGGGTTACTAGAAAAGTCAGGTCAGGACCTCAAAAGGAGACTGCTTAAAATGCTATAACTTAGGGTGAACTGGCATAAAGATTAACAGCTGTATCTGTAGCTGAATTTATTCATAGCAAAAAGTAGCTTGAGATATTTCGCCTTTTAAAATCTCTCTCTCTCGTGCTGTGTGCTATCTTTTCGCAGCCCTGAAAACAAAATGTCTACTGCTGCTTGGCTGCAAAGTGGTTATAGAGGAGTTTAACTTCCACTGGGAAGAAAAGGTAGCACATTTATAAGGTGGTCTTTCAATGGTGTAGTGTGACCATGGGGCTGAGCTGCGGCACCCAAGTTTGAGGAATTTGGTTTCATGCTTTAGTAAATACAGTGCGTAAGAAGTGGTGAACTTTCTGCCTTTTTTTTTCTTTTCCTCATGTGCAGAAACTACTGCAATTACTATGAGAAGGATAAGCATCCAAAGAACGTAAGATTTTAGTGTTTAATGTCATTCACCATATGTGGCTTTTTGACTACCTTTCCATCCATCTTTCTAGCATTTCTGGGAAGTTAGGACAAAGAGGAGTCAACAACAGTGAGTGAAAAATGACACAGATTTTCTTTTTTGTGGAACTGTTCTAACATAATGGGTGATCAAAAACATTTGATATTGCTATAAACCAGCATGTGCTGAAAGCATATTCACTTTTCCCAACATGCTAAGAAGGGAACTTCTGCATGTGGCAAGAGCAAAGGCAAAATAGACACTATGGTTGGATGAGCCAGCCTCTAAGCAAAGAAAATGAGCTGACACTGGATCGTCTCTCTTACTTTCTGTCATACACTGTGCCTTACCTCTTTGTGGCATCACCTCCTGCTGCTACCCACTTCCCCACACAGTTCTGGTGTTCTGCACGTGCTGACTGCCCCAGTTGGCTTGTGCATATGAAATAAACCTCCTGTATGTTTGCCTATTTCCGTGGTGTATCCCATGATAAAATATTTCCTCTGTTAGCAACACTGTCTTAATGCACACACATACCAAAAACTCTTATTCTTGATTTTTACCAGTACTTTTTTGCCAAGGAAACACTTGCTGCAGGGAAAACAAAACAGGGTAATGATGATAAAAATACTACATATTTTTCAATGGAACTGTCTTTTATATTTAGTAAAAAACATTAACAGGGGTTAAACATTCAGTAAATGTTTAGGCTGGGACTGATTTCCATTGTAATTAATCATGATACAATCCGGCTCTTTTGCTTGTTTTTTCTTCAAGATCTGGATGAGACTCTAAAGTGGATTAAAAGGCAGTTTCAAAACAAACATAAAGTTCAGTAGTTTAGTGTCCCTTTGAGCTGATATGTGCAGAAGTGTGGAAGGAGAGTATCTTAACTGAACTGTTTCACTCTGGTAGATAGTCAATATACCTGGATGATGAATTCATGAAGTAGATTAGCTTTAAAATACACTCGGCTGCAATGACAATATGGCATCTCCAGGAAATGAGCAGAGATCAACCCTTGTTAATGCATGATGCTAGTTAATAAATGAGCAGAAGATATTTCAGATAGAAACACATAAACATTTTAGAAAGTGGATTTTTAGGCATACCATAATGATTTAGATTAACAAACACTATGATATTTATTGTCTGCAGAGCAAAGAGACCCTTTTTTCTAATGGGTTTGATTCACCACCTTCAATCTTCAGGCTCACATGCACATCTTTTGGCTTTTGCCGTGAACCTGGTATTCAATCTGTTCATGGACATCAAAGAGAAACTCACTTGAAAGGAGTGATTTTCCCTGTGCATCAGGTTGCATATGTTTCATTGCTTTCAGTGCAGAGCTGGAAATCTTGTCAGGCTTACTTAGCATTCAGCAAAGATTTTAGTGAACATGAACTGAGATATGTTTTTAGCAAAATCAGAAACCCAAAAGATTTATATACAACTGCACAGTAAACATTTCCTGTGATTCAGCCAGAAGGTTCTCGCTGGCAAGGGATTTTTTTGCCTTAAAGAAGACAGATGAATGTGAAGTAACGAAAAAAGAAACTCAAGTCATTTATAGCTAGGGGAAAGCAGACACAGGAATATGGAAAAGGTTATGTTCAATTCAGGAAGTAGCTGTAATGGGAAAATGAGACATTTTGACATGTTCATTTGAACAATTTTACCTTTTGTGGTTGTTGAGAAGTATGAGCATATCTGGTATGCAGAGAGCTTAGTTAGGTCATAATGAGGTAAAAGATTTTGAAAGCTCAGAGAAAGCAGCAGAATTGTAAAATGGAAGGAGGAATAAGTCTGTGAGTCATCCAACAAAAGATAGATTGAAACATATGTGCTGGTTGGAGATAGAAAGGTCACTGATAAGTCATGATATGACTGAAGCTCACTGAGACCTGGGAGGAAGGAATTTGCTCAGTGGGAGCTGAAGTGGATTACAAAAATCTCAGGTACATGGTAAGTGCATAACAGCTGAGTTCCTGTGATGATCTGAAGAGAGAGAAGTTAAGTCTGGGCTAGACCTTTATACAGTGGAAGGTTTTAAGGATAACGTTTGGGAATTAGAGGTACAGTAATCAACTGGAAGTCACTAACTTACAACAGGTGTTCAATTACCTGCCTACCAGGTGTAGTGGAGTGGCATTATATATGAGAAAACATTACAGTTGTACTTGTTCTTCAGAAAACCACAGGACTGATTGAGCCACAGAAACTGAAATGCTCTGTCACCCCCTCGAGGTAATCGTTCAAAGATAGCTTCAAGGCCAGTCACAGTGGGAAGCTTCTGCTGGTTTAAAATTGAAAGCTGAAAGTTTTTAATAACATTATGGGGAGCTGTTCAACTTATCAAAGAAATAAAAAATAAAATAATTAGGATTGCCTGGTTCTCCTATAAGGTAAGGATAGTCTTCACAAATGGTGCCTTAACAAACAGTGAGTGCAATTCCTATGAGTCAGCACCACAAAAAATCATACTTCAGTTAAATAAACATGAATAAGCATATGGAAGATATTTTCAGTAATTCTGGCATATGCAGAGAAACACTTGTGAATGTTGAGCCAAACAGGCTTATAATCTGACCTCTGTGAATGGCCACAGCTCAGGAAAAGGACCAAGGATTCAAAAGTCCTAAGGATTCATTGGTTCAAACGCTGATTAAGCCACAGGGTAGTAAAACTAGACCAGCTGACCAGTAATTACCTTAAGGCTAAAACATGAACGTACAAGTATTTTTCTTCTTCTTTATGGATTGTTATCATTAGCAACATTCATACTTGAAAATGCATCTTCGGGCTCCTTTAAGTCAAGGCAGCAGTCAAAGAGTGAGGATCCCAACTCAGGCTTTCCAACAAGCAGGTAACTGCATCAAGGAAAGAGCTCTTTAAAGATGGCTTGACAAGGCAGCGCTGTTTGCATCTACATCTTTATCTGACCCTGAGTGCTAAACTGTAATGTACGACCCAGGTGTGACTGATTTTTGATGGTGAGTAGCACAGTCATGGTTTTATTGGATGCTGCTGGAGTCACTGCATGGGGAGGTTGCAGAGCAAGAGGCTTGTTTTCCCACACATGGTTTCATCTCAGATTGTCTCTATGTGTGTGCACTCTTATTTCTGTTAGATTTTATTAGAATTGAAAATCTCCTTTAGATTTGAGTTAGAGAAGTGGCTTTGGGACAGATAGTAATTGAATCTAATTTAATCTAATATCAGTTTAATCTAGTATTCGAAGGAGATAACTTGATTCAAACTTATTTGTGATGTTTAAAAATAGAGAGGAGAGACATGATAATGTCTCTTGTTCTGTTATCAGGCTTTGAAATCACATGTTAGCCTAAAAATATACCCCGTGACAGACCCTTGAGATATGGAAACATCTCATAAGGATTTATTGATTTATTTACATATTAGCTTGCAGGGAGTAAAAAATTCTTACAGCCATTATGCCGAAGTGGATCTAAAGCTCCACCCAAGTAGTCTTGTGTCAGACTTACGTTGAGTGGACCATGGAGGAGATAGGAATTGAGTCAAGTTTATCTGAATTTTAGACAAACTTGGGATTAGTGGATTAAATTTGACTACAGAACATTCAAGGTCGGGTATTTCATACTAAGTTCCGCCTTCAGAAAAAGTGAAATAGGAATCATCATGCTATCAACAGGTGCCAAAATGTGGGAAAGAGCTCTGCCAAAGGACCAGGCACGGAGACCAGCTTTAGGCAAGTTTTGGTTACACATGCAGTGCTGATTTGGAATAAACATGTTTAAAAGCAAACAAAATACTACATGGGAGACACTTGAATCCAAAGGTGTGTATTTTTTGTTGGGTGTTCATAGGGTGCTTTATTTAACTTTTTCTTCTTATTTTCTTTGTCTTTCATTATTTTTCATTTCTGTGTCTCTCCACTTACTTTTTCTGGCTTTAAAAAGATACAGAAGTGCCAAAATACCAGGAGGGAGACTGTTCTGGTATTTATAGCCTGACTAAAAGCAGGAGTTAATGGAAATTATACTTTTAAAAAATGAAAACTTTACAAAAAGAAAGTCTATAATAAATACTTTAAAGGCAAGCAACTTCACTTAGAATTTGCAGTTAGTTATTTAGGATTTTAGTAGCTAGATCCTATCAGGAGTTTGAGGAGGGGTCAGAGTAATTTAGTGAGTGATGCATATTTAGAAACTACTCTTTGTGTTTAGAAAAAGTAAGTGTATCACTGATGGTATTCAGTATCAAAGTCTGTTT